GGAACGAGATCAAGCCTGGCAGTCTGAGCTTGAGGCCATTCAAGAACAGCACAAACTTGACTATGCTGCATTGGCTTGTGCTGTGAATGAGATTCAGCAGCTAAAGATTCAGCTTGAAATGGTAGCCAAGTCCGAAACGAGAAAGAATGAACTTGATAGCTTGAGAAGAAACCTTGCAGAAACTCTGAGTCTTGTCGAAAGAATGGAATATGAACTGAAAAATTGTCGAGAATCTGAAGCTCAGGCTCAGTTACTAGCAAGTAATACTCTAGCACAACTTGAAGATGCCAAAAAACAGGTCGAGGAGCTCAGATATGATGGTATGGAAGCAATGAAGGCTAACCACTCCATTGCTTCAGAGTTGGACAAATCGAAGGCACGTGCGAACATATTAGAAGAACTTGTCGGTAAGCTCCGAATAGACCTTGCCAATGCTAGCAGTAACCTTTCGCAACATCCAGCGGTCGAAAACGAGAGAAAGAGTGGAGAAGATCATGTTGAAGAAGAAATTTGTTCTCTCAAGTCAGAGATTGAACAACTGAAAGCAGCCCTGGAAATGGCTGAGACCAGATACGATGAAGAACAAATTCAGAGTGCAGTCCAGATAAGAACAGCTTATGACCATATTGAGCAGATAAAATCCAACATCAATTCCAGGGAGTCTAATTTAGAGAAGGAACTGAAAAAATCGAAAGCTGATATCGAAGAGTTAAAGGCTGACTTGATGGATAAGGAGACTGAATTGCAGTGTATCTCAGAGGAAAACGAGCAGCTACAAGCAAAGATTCAGAAGAACCTGTGTAGCCAGAGAGAATATGAACTAGAAAGGGAGATCAAGGAATTGAAGGAACATCTTGCTGATAAAGAGAGAGAACTCCACAACGTTTCAGACGAGCATGAGATGCTAAAATGTGAAATTAACAAAACGATAACGATCCGACCAAAAGCAAACGATGAAACTACTGAAGTTCAGGATGCAACAGCTGCCGAACAAGACGCTCTCATACGACTTGGAATCGTGATGGAGGAGGCAGACAAAAGCAACAAGAGGGCTGCTCGAGTGTCCAAACAGTTGGAGGCTGCGCAGGCTGTAAATGCCGAAATAGAAACGGAGTTGAGACGGTTGAGGGTGCAGTCAGACCAATGGAGGAAGGCTGCAGAGGCAGCAGCGTCGATACTCTCTGCAGGAAACAATGGCAAGTTCATCGAGCGATCGGGATCATTGGACAGTAGCTACGATTCAGGTGCAGGAAAGTTGAATGGGTCTTATTGTGAAGAGATAGATGATGATTTGCTGAAAAAGAAAAATGGAAATGTGTTAAAAAAGATAGGTGTGCTGTGGAAGAAACAACAGAAATGAAGATCCAAGACTTTGTATTTAGTGTTAACATGATGGGATGGGATGTTTGCTTTTGTAGGCTCATTTTTTTTTCCAGATTTGTTCAGCCTGAAAGCTTCTTGTGATTCCTAATGAGCAAGAGGGAGTAGAATTTTGAAAACTATCATAGTTTCTAATCGTTGAAAAATTCATCTAGATTTTTTTTTTTTTTTTTTTTTTTTTTTTTTTTTTTTTTTTTTTTTTTTTTTTTTTTTTTTTTTTTTTTTTTTTTTTTTTTTTTTTTTTTTTTTTTTTTTTTTTTTTTTTTTTTGAGTTGAACCACATGATATGATATGGTGTGTAGCAATAGCGGTTTATCCTTCCATGTGAATACAGGATGAAACTCGTGTACTAAGCAAAAACACTGTTGTGTAATCATATAACAGTTTAAGTCCACTGTTAACAGAAATTGTTTGCTTTGACTTGTCACGCATTGTCGTTAGCTATCAGTCTCATGATTTTAAAATGAGTCTATTAGAGAGAGATTTAACATCAAGAGAATCAATTGGACTAAGAATCAGCTCAAACACTAATGCATGGAGTTCTTATCTCTTTCTTCTGTGATTCTCCCTTCAAATTGCGTCCACCAATTGCTTCTCTTAGCTCCACTAAGCAAAACCCTAAGATTTCACGTCCAATCGTTCATTGTTCATGTTCAAAGTAGACAAACAGGCTGACTCAAAGACCTGAGATCTCGACTTAGTAACGAAGGAAGGGAACATCAAATCTATTAATTAATTAGTTTATTATTATAATAATTATAGTTAAAAGAAGACAATTAGATTGAAGGAGACAGTGAGAAGACAGAGGATATAATTTAGTTGGAGATAAGGTGAAATGTCAACATTGAGAGCTACTTATGTTTGGAATAAAACACAAACATCATTATTCCTTAGATTTAGTTCTCTCATTTACGACAAAATCTGAGATCTCCAGGTTTGACCATCAATTCTTTCACATTTTTAGTTTCATCTAATTACTCAACCTAAATTCAATTAATCTTCGTCTAAATAAAAAATAACAAAGAGAAATGCTCGTTTATCTCAACCAAAAAAAAGTTTGAATCTCAACCCTTTTGATTGTCGTACACATTTTATGCTAAATGAGTCGTCATGCTCAATTTGACAATAATAAATTGTATTATGGGTAAAGTAATAGAGAACGTTGAGATTCGAACATAAGTGACAGTAAATATGTTCGTATGACTCGATAACTCTACCAATATAAGCCGTGTTCGAGAATTTAAATCAATAGTAAGATAAATTTAATAATAATTTTAAATTGATTTAAATTCTTAGAAACAAACTTTTAAGTAATTACCTAAATAATTTTAACCATTAAAAAAAAAAATCACTTTCATACTCAATTCTTTTCAACTAGACCGAGTTTGGTCTCGTTTTTATATTGTTTGACCAAACAATTCAAGGAGAGGCAAATTACAATAAATAGAGTTTTTTTTTTTTTTCGCTAAAAAATGGATGAAATTTTAAAAATTATTGGAAATTTAAATGTATTTATAAAATCCAAATTTTTTTACTAAAATTGATTTATAAAGCCCTCTCAATAGCCAATTATATTAAATAAAAAAGAGAAAAAAAAATATATTAAAAATGAAAAAGAAAAGGAAAAAAAAAAAACTCCCCCGTCAATCTCGACGTTTCCTTGTAATTCATTCTTATAAAAAGCACAAATTTGCAGTGTACCAATTATTGGAATATTCATACGTTTATAATAATAATAATAATTATTATTATTATTTATAATGATTATTATATAATATAAATTATATATATATTTATATTTGTTCTGACAAATAGTCTCTGACAAAATCCTGAGTTGGATTTTGTGCTGCTGCTCATTCTCTTCACTCTAAATCCCAATGCTTTTTTTTTTTTTTTTTTTTTTTAATCAATTTCTATAATTTCACTATTTTTGTTATTATTATTATTATTATTATTATTATTTTGGTTTACTACCTTCCTAAATTATATAAAATATTTATAAACTTCTTATTTCATTTTTAAAATATGTTTAAAAACTTGCAAAAGTATCGATAAAGTTAATATTTTTATTGTTAGGAGTGTTCGTAGGTTGAAATGGGTCAGATTGATAACATTTTTCAACCAAAACAATTCTTATTAAATAATGAGCTCTTCTCAATCTAACCATAAATTTTTTAAGTTTGGTTGGTTCGGGTTATTCGAGTCAATTTTATTCGAATTATTTAAGATTTATTTTTAAATATTTAATTAACATTTACCACTCAATTTGAATATTTATTTTAAAAAATTACTTTAAATATTATTTATAGAACTCTCCAAGAATAATTATAAAATAAATATATGTATGTATAATTACTTAGGAAGACAATTAAACGACAAATTATCCACTTACTTCATACATGAGACATTTTGTAACAACCTTAGTTTTTTTTTTTTACTAACATAAAGCCGTTGGATTTTGAGACCCCATATCAATTAGAGAATGGAATGAGTGCCAGCGAGAACACTAGGTCTCGAAGGAGGTAGATTGTGAAATCCCGCGTCGGTTCGAGAGAAGAACTGAGCACTATTTATAAAGGTTTGAGAATCTCTCCGTACGAGATGCATTTTAAAATTGTGAGACATACAGTGATACGTACCGGCCAAAATAGACAATATTTGTTAGTGGTAGACTTAGGCTCTGACACGTATATCATAAAAGATAATTAAAAAAAATAGAAGAAATAGAAGAAATTAAAGAAGCAGCAGACATAAAAAAAAAAAAAAAAAAAAAAAAAAAAAAACACAGAGATTTGAGACATTCAGAGACGAAACTTCTGACTAAACAACAAACAGAAGAAATATGACTCTCGTTGTCGATAACGATCTGAACGGTCAAGAGATGTCGGCTACATAAATCCAACGGCCACCCCACTAATTAAAGTAATTAACCAAAATTAATGTAAACTAATAACACATAATTTTTTTTTAATACAAAACTTAATTCCCCCACAAAAAAAAAAAAAAAAAAAAAAAAAAAAAAAAAAAAAAAAAAAAA